TTAGATGTGTTCAGATCTGTGCCCACAGATGGAACCCTTGCAGCAGTGACTCTTCAGCCAAGTGCCTGCGCCAGGGTTCTGAACCCACAGTCCCTCCTCTACTGAGCAGGATTGCTACTGTCCTGTGAGGAGTAAGGGGGGACTTTGGGCTTGTCCAAAGGAGAAGGAGACTGAGGGGTGACCTCATTGCTCTCTGTAGCTTCCCGAGGAATTTTAAATACAGAATAGTTTAGGGGGAAGGTGCCTACAAAGACCATCCAGTCCAACTCCCTGATCAATTCAGGGCTGATCAAAAATTAAAGTTACTAAGGGCATTGGCCTCTTAAACACTGACAGGCTGTGGTCATCAGCCACCTCTCCAGGGAGCCTGCTCTAGAGAAGGTGCGCAACCACCCTCTCTGGAAAGAAATGTTTCTAAAGGTGCAGACTGGACCTCCTCTGGTGCAGTTTCAGCTGTTTCTACTCACCCTGTCACTGGATACTAGGGAGAAGAAATCAGCATTTCTCTTTCCCCTTCCGCCTGAACTATTCTGTATTTAAAATTTTCATCATTCATTGCGTCAGAAGTAATTTTAAGGAAACCAAAAGTTAAAAACATTGTGGGCAAAATGTTAGATTCTGTTACAAACACAAGAATTTTAGTGCAGGAAAGTGAAAAACACATCAGCTACTTAGTTTTTTTAAAAGTTTTTAAAGGGCAGCAAAAATATTTCAGAAACAGGGACTTGCAATATGAAAAGTGGTGGCTGAGCATTTCAACCGTTTTCAAACTGAAATTGTACACGTGCATATCTTACACATATGTAAGATATCCACACCCCCTCCCCCAGTGACAGTCTTGTTTGCTCTGAGAAATAAAAAAATCATGGAAGGTACCAGGATCAATCCTAAGTAGTGACTGTTTTTCTAGGGCAAGCAAAAGAAAAGGAATCTTGCTACTTTCCCACTTCTTCAGTGGGATACTATTTACTTTGGATCCTATCTAAAAACTGCTAGTTATGGGCTCTCATCTGTCAAAATATGTTAGTTAGTGATTGATGTTGTGGCCAAATATAAGCCCAAGAATGCTTTGCTGAGTAGGAGTTTACACACAGAAATAGAGCCTCAGTCATACCGGCTGCTGACCAGTTACTGTTGTGGCAAATAAGCCCATTCGATCTAATTGTGTAAATATGTATATTCTTTTTTTTTTTTTTAGAAAATAGCACATTCAGAAACTCTTAAGTACTGCATCAGCAAAAGTGAGCATGTGCATAAACTCAGATCTCAGACTGAAATAGCTCCTGGCTTGAGGACGTTGGACTGTTCTGCAAAAAATCAGTTGATGTAGTTGTGCTGATCAATGGGAGAAACTATTCTGAAGTTGCAGGACTTTTAGGGGAGGTTCTGCATTGCAGGTTTTAAAACAACTCCTTTGAATTTATTCTTGAACAAGCCAATTCAAAGCTATTATTGGCTTAATTTTTATCTAAAGAAAACATACTCATTGTATTTTACCTTTGATCTTTCTGAGGAGTACGGTGCCATCCCTTTGTGTTAGTGTGGCCTAGTATAATCCAAGATCACACATAGGTGATGTGCAGCATACATCCAAAGTAAGGAAAGTTAAAAACAATAGCAGCAATTCTGGATTAGTAAATTCTGTGTATTACAAATTACACATAATATAGAATCATAAGTACAATACAAACAAATATAATTGATACAAAACTAGTCGTAGTTGCTATTCATGAAGGTTCATAGAGTCATTAGTTCATGCTAATTTGCAGAACTGTGATCAAGTCAGATGAGCAATCAGAACTACCAGATTAACAATTTAGAATTTTAAACATCGCCTTAACTAGATTTTTTTCTCCTTTTCCCTGCATTCTTTCTCTCTCTTTCTCCTTCTCTTAAAATTACATACTTATTTTCTCCTTGCCTTTTCTACATCCTGAAGTATTTTCATTTCTTCACTAACATCTTTGTTAGAGAACAAAGTAGTGCTTTGCTTTATGCCCTGACATGCTGGAAAACTCCTTGTCATGTCTTTATTTCATCCACAGTGTTGCGTCTCAAGAGCAGGAAAGAGTAGGTGAAGGGAGAGGACAGGGATAAGGGCTTCCGTTTGTTTGCAGTTTTACAGACTTATGCCTGCCCCCTTCTTTCTTTTCTTCCCTTCCTTCCTCCCTGCCTCCCCCCTCCCCATCCACACTTAAAAAATCATTCCCATTCATGTTGTGTGAGCACACACGCTGGGAGAAATTACAGGGGCTCTGTTCCAGATCACCTTGACAACTTCAAGGCATCCCTGTGCGTGGGGACCGGTGGCACAGCAAAGTTTCCCAGGCCCCCTGGGGAAGGGGAGGGGAGAGGAAGAGAGGAGGCAGAGGTGCTGGAGCCAGCAGCGTGTGGAGGAGAGGGCAGCGAGCGAGCGGGATGAAAGGGGCACATACATCTCCCGCGGGACAATGGGAGTTTTGCTGGCTGACTGTGAAAAGACACACTGAGGATACAATGCTCTGTGACACATGAAAGCTTTGGGGACCCTTCCAGAGTCCTATTCAGTTCTAAGAAATCTTGTCAACATCTTAAAATGCAAAAAAAACAACCCACTTCATTTTCTTGTGTTTCAAAAACAAATTTAAAAATATTTTTTAGATAATTATTTTTCTTTTTTTTTTCTTCCTTTTTTTTTTTTTTATATGCTGGAGGCTTTTGCAGTTCCCTGAGTTCCCATTAACTGCAGTGGGAGGGAAGGCTGCCCAGCAGCCCTCCAGTAAGGGCTCTCAGAGGTGGGCATTTGCTTCCTCCTCATACACCCTTTGTTCATACTTAGACCTGTTGTCCCTCTGCTTTGAATACTCTCTGCTATACATGCCATGAGCAGTTACAGCTCAAGAGTAGAGGAATTGGTGTTCCCTATGTTCAAGCTGAGAAATAATTTCTATGATAGCAAGAGCAGGAGTGAGACTGAGCAATTTAAATAAGGAGCCATGTAGTCACAGCTGGAGTGCACAACAGAAAACCAGGCTGGAAAGCAGCTTACAAAGACCAGAGCATGACTCTTGCTCTCTGACACACCACTTGCACGTGGTTCACCACTCAGTCCCAGAATCAGTCCAAGGCAGAAAGAGGATCACAAGCTCTAATCCTTCAACACAGCAATCTTTATTGGCAAGATATGCCCTACACTGACCCCTAAGAATTTTTGGGTTATAGGAGACTCAACCTAGTATCAAGTGTGGAGTAAAAAAGAAAAAAGATAAGGTTCAGTGTTCTTGTGAATCCTCTAAGACTGACAGTGCTTAGCTTCTGGTCCTTAATCGATTACCTGTCAAGGGCAGAATACTGGGAACTGACTGATTCAACATCTGTGCATTTCCAAACATTCCTTCCAAACTGTATACGTTAACCTTTCACGCTCAGGATGTTTAAAACGAGTTTAAAACTGGTCTTAGCTAAAATTAAAAAATACACAGACCGATGTTGCTACTTTAGAAAAAGCAAGTAAGAACACAAAAAAAGCAATTATAATATATGAAGATGAAATTGACTGGACTAGTATGCAAGCAATATTTTTTCATTTTCCAAATTACATTTCATTTTAATTTTGACTCTTCTAAAAAAAATCTGTTACAAATGGTGTCTGAGATAAATATTGCGCAATTCAGTAGCGGATCTGAAGTTCTCAAAAAATTAGTAATTTTATTTTTTGCGTTGCTTAATAATATTTGCGCTATTTTATATTTACATTATTTTGAGGACTCTAAAAAACACCCTGATCTTCCATCCACCAACAAGAGAGGTACAGGGCTTACTTCCTGTTTGTAAAGACAAGAAAATTAGTAGTTACTTGCTAGTATTTACCATTTTCCTTGCAGAATTTGAAAACAGAAACATTAACTTACCATGAACATTATTATCCGGTTTTACGGATGGAAAAGCTGAGCAGAGAAATGAAGGATCAAGTGATTCAAATGTTGGATGCCCATTTTCAGTTTCTTACTGTATCAGTAACGCTTTGTTCTTCCACTGCAATGGCACACATAAACCAAGCAATTTGGGGTGTGAAACCAGTGACCTCCCTTCGCAATTCCTTTTGAGGGTACAGATCTTACTGACTCTCATGGTTTCTGCCAAAAGGGCAGGCAAATACTAGCTGAAATGAAAGGGTAAGTATGAAGCACATGATTGGTTTTATACTTTGAAGATTCAATCAGAGCCTGGAACACAGTCTTGGTCTAAGTTACTTGAGTGAGTAGAGCGCTTTCACTATAACTCCAGCAGCACGTATTTCCTCCTTTAGAAGACAGACAGAAGTATGATATATCTACAGTTATTTGAGAAAACATTTAGTTTTGCCAGGCCATGATTCTAGTTTTATATTTCAGTATTATTTATATTCCTGCAGTCCTCTTGATATATTTTAAATGCTTTCTCCTCTGAGACAGACACCCAGAGCAGAAGGTGGCCAGCTTTCACTGTATTTTATATGTTCAAAGACGGCATCTCCATAATTGTATGGGCAGTCCACGGAAGTATGCGTTAAGCAGTTCCATATAGGAGGAGATAATAAAGCCAAGACATCCATTTCTGACCACTTTTTTCATTCTGTACTTTGAAAGTTTGATTCCAACAAGAAGTGTCAGAACTGCTTTGAGACAGATGGCATATCCCTCCAAATGAAGTATGGGGAAGTAACTGACTACTGGAAATTTTAAGGAGAAGGAGCAACGGGGTTTTTTATGGAGAAGAATACTAACTGCATCTGATGGAAAGAGAAAGAGAACAGAAAGCTGTAACTCTCACAATAGAAAATTATGTAACAACAGGCATTAGGGGTGGGATGGGAAGACAGTGGCTGTATGAGCTGCAATATAGAGAGACAGCTTGCCATAGGTAGCTTTAAATGTACTGGTCATCAAAACTCTTCCCACAAAACAGTTTTCATCATGCTTAGTTTGTATTCTTTGCTCACAACTGTGTTGGGTGAATCTCATTGTGCTTAAATTTACTAGGAATTGCCGCCCTGGATAGTAAAGCATCAGGGAAGATGGGAGTCCGAGCAGTAGTCTACTACATGAGCACTACGATCATTGCTGTACTGATTGGTATAATCATTGTGGTCATCATCCACCCTGGGAAAGGTACGAAAGAAAACATGCACAGAGAAGGCAAAATTGTGCAAGTGACAGCAGCAGATGCCTTTCTTGATTTAATCAGGTATGCCTATGATATTGCACATTTTCTGTACCAATAGCGATGACAGTAATATTTAGATTCACAGAGAACAAAAGTAGAAAATTTTAGATAGTGACTGCGTAAAGTTGCCAAATTTCTTTCAGCTGTGTGATAACAGTATCTCCATTTTTAATATCTCCCTTTTTAACCTACGACAACTCTACAGTGCCACAAAACAGATTTAATTCCAAATCAAGCTGTTGCAGGGGAAGAAGCTGCTTTTAATATTCAAAGAAATATTCTTTCTTTCACTCACAAAAGAAAGACTTCTGTTCTGCTATCTGCATGGGTCTTTTTTCCTCCTTCCATAGCACAATCCTTATTACCAAATTCCTCCACTTTTCTTTACTTCCAGCTTTCAACGGTTTTCTCACTTCACCTGAATACCTGATTTAGTTATTAATTTTAATTTTGAATTGTAGCTGCCAATCTGGGTACATCTAATCAACTTGTTAAATTGTATGAATGGGAAACAAATTCCAGGAACAGGCAAGTAAAATGCTTGAAATAGAGGGGCACAGATGTAAAATCGTGTTTTCTCCTTGCTCAGAGACTCTGCAATACCTCTTTTATAGAGCTAATATGTCACAGGGAGGAGGGAAGCTGAGGTTTTGAACTCGGGAGCTTTTCCACAGGTAAAGCCACCAAAATTTTGTGTTCCACTAACCCATTTGGAGAAGCCAGAGACATGGAGAAAGGCCTCCAAGAGTCATGCTGCCAGGAAGGGGGACTTTAGAAAGACCCATGAAGAGGTTTGCACTCAGATTTCTCAAGATTTATTCAGTTAGGCTGCTTCTATTTGCCTCAGAAATGCACCATTATGGAAAGTAAAGAAACAAACTCCCATCTGTAAAAAATGTACACACACATATGTAATTATATGTGTATGTTTTATTATTATGGAATACTCAAACTTCAGAGAGATTTATTTTTTAATCACAGCAAGACTAAACGGAGTGACAAATGTCATGAAGTACTAGGCTACATGACTGCAAAAAATGAGAACTAGAAATGCATTAAATATTATTAAATTATTTATTAACATTGATTCATAAAGCATTAATAAATATGAAATTAAAAGTCAGCACAGTCCCACAGAGCTTTGTACATTTGGTAATTTAGCCAATATACTGCTCCATAACCAGAGCTGCTACACAATACTGGATACAGAGATTCCAGTTGCCAGGATCTATCCAATCCTGCTGCATTTTGTCCTGATAAAGCTAACCAGGCCAATGCTATATACAAAGCTCTACCCACTGTATACAGTAATTATATATTTGCCTAAGGATTCCTTCAAAAATTAGCTGGTCAATTCTTTAATTCATTTATTAGCTGCACCTTTATTTAAAATATTACTGGAGTATTATCACTTCTCATGTTATTTTGTTTCTTTTTCACAGAAATATGTTCCCTCCAAATCTGGTGGAAGCTTGCTTTAAACAGGTAAAAATGTGTTGTTATTTCCAAAGAAAACACAACAAAGTAAGAAATTGAAATGTAATAGGATTTGTTTTAGGAATATCACATACTTGTACTTAGAGCAGAAACACAACTTATGTATGCTGTCAGCTGTCAAAAAAGCCCCAAACTAAATCAAGCAAATCTGTGCTTTGTTTTCAGTCATATTGAGACAATAGTACTTGCTATGAGAAGTGAAGAAAACACACCTGGCTTGACAAATCAGAAAATAGGTTTTTTCAAAATGTCAAATTCTTAAGTCTGCAGAAGGGTTCACTAAAGTCAGTACAGAATTTGCTTTTCAAAAACAGTGTTATGTTAAACTGGGAAATACTGAGATATGCACCATCTGCACAAAGACTGGAAGATGTTCAAGAATGTCATGTGAGGAACATGCATAGATTCAAAACAGAAAGAAACATTTCGTGGACATTAAAAACAAAAGCAAATGGGGGGGACTTCCTGTCACCTATGGTAGGAGTTCATAGGAGTGCTTTTTCTATGTCGCTTCCTAAATTCTACCATTATTTTGGCCTTAACCTTAGCTCTTCTACAAAGAAAATAGTAGTAGCCAGCTACATTCTTTTTTTTTAAAGGACAACATTATATATTTGGTGAAACCTGTAATGTGTGTTTCTATATTCTAATTGCTTCATATTGACCTCCCAGACAACCTTGAACTGTTATTATTCACCAGTTACTGCTGTAACAATAAAGAAAAGTTGAAATGTGGAGGTCAAGAAGTAAGAGGATAAAGTAGATACTTTCCAAAGTCCAGCTGAGTTACATCTTGCAGAAGAATTGAAAAGAAATTGTAACATTATCTTTGGCTATATAAACAGAAATCAATAAAAAGCAGTGAATTCCTGTATTAAAGATTTCTAGATTAAAGATTAAAGATAAACCAGACCCAAGTCCAAAACTAATAAATGCTATGCCTCTGTCTTCAGCCAGGATGTTGATGGCCTCAGCAGAGTGATGCAGAAGAACAGTATGGAAATACAAAAGTTTATATTTAAACTAGAAAAAAAATTCAAAGGATTTAATGTAATAAAGTACAGGAATGATATGATCTTTATCTCAAAACAATAAAATAATTAGGGCATTAAGTTACAGCTCTAGCAGCAAGTATTTTTCATAAATCTCTCAAGTTGGGAAGTTATTATCTATAGCTCTTGAAAGCAACCAAAGTGTCTTTCAGATTACAGTTTCAGAAGGATTTGGGAATTGATTTAAGCAGATAACAAGCCATTAGCCTGATCTCAGTTATACTGAAGGATATAAAAAAAAGAAACCAACAAACACCCCCCCCAAAAAAAAAACAAACAGAAAAACCCCCAACCAACAAAAAAACCCCACTGATATCTGAAACATAGATTGTACCATCTTTTTTCCACAGTATTGCTCATTTCCCTTTTTTTCTTTGTTTTGACTTGGTTTTGGTTTTCATTTGGGTTTTTTTTGCTTGATTGGTTTGCTTTTTGGTTGGGCTTTTTTTGTTGATTGTGGTTTTCTGTTTTGCCTTTTTTGTTTGGTTTGGTTTTTTGTTCTTCTGTGGCAGAGAAGGGAAACATATCAAATTTCTTTAGACTTCTGACAAAAGTTTTTGATATGAGGAAAGTGAAATAGTTGAGTAGGGGATAAGAGTATTGTAAGAATTGTAAAATTTGTAGAGATAGCAATGGAAGTTGCTGGAAGACTGGGCATACTTCAGTTGATGTTTTTGTGAATGACATTGCCATAAGATGCACACAATTAAATTTACAGATGACAAGAAAGTCCAAGCACTTTGTATTGAGATATGTGACAAATGCCACAAAAGGTGGTATTTCACTGGCACACTGCAATACTGTGAAGTCATAGCAACAAAATGAGTCAGCTCTTGCAGACACTGGCATGTTTGGTTATCTCCTTGTAGCTCTCCATCACATGTGAAATAAACATTTAGAAGTTAACAGTAATTTCTGCTTTGACATAGCAAGTTACCGTCAAAAAGACAAAAAAGAAAAAAAATTAATCCTCCTCTAATTCAGCTCTAGGATATATTAGGTGACAGAACACCAAGACAGAAACTAAAGCTGGAGTAATGTGACTGTCTAGAATACTGAATATTTTCAGGTTTTTCATTCATAGATTGAATTAGCACAAAGGAGAGAGGAGTTATTATTATATTATTTTATTGGAACTATTGAAAGAACACAACATATAAGGCAAAGAGGATACTGATTTAGAAACTCTTAAAGTACAAAACCAAACTGGCAACAGAGTTGAATAAGAAAAGGAAAAATATTTATGCGAAAGGAAAGGGAAATCTGTGTTACTGAATTTAAAGTGGGAATTGGTGAGGTTTTTAACCTCCCATTACTTAAAGGTGAGGTCCTGGAAAAGTCTTCAATTAGGAGTCATAGGAACACTTCAACAGTTTTACCATACAGCTGAAAAAAATTATTTTCATAAAGTATCCTACAGAAACAGGAAGCTTGACTCGGTGACTAGCAGTTCTAAACCTATGTTCTTAATTAAAGATGTCCTGCAGATTCTGTTTACACTAAGTATATTGTATTTCTCATGTGCTTTACAGCTTAAGGAGATTTCTAAAAAGTACTTCAAAAACCAGGAAATGTTTAGTGAAAGTTTTTACAGACATTCAGCAGCAGTTATACTTACTGAAATACCAGGATTTTAAATCTGTCATACTGATATTATTATGTGTTTGAATTCAGTACCAAATCCTACATTTTTAGGTAAAAGTTATTTTGTTATAGCAGATTTGTTAAACTAAAAAAGTAGTTTACAAGTATGTGTAAGATTGGTAGGTATCCAGGTGATTTTGCACATCTGACTCCATAACTTTCTTTTCAAAAGTTTCCATCCATTTTTTCATGTTTTTGTCAGAAGATTTATGAAGAAGGATGATTCATCTGGCACTAACCTGGTTCTGTAACCAAATGTTGGCTACCCTAAACAAAAACCACACTGTATATATACACTCACAGTTGTCCACAGTCAAAGGTGTAATACTGATCCACAGGTTCACACACCTGGAAACCATCTCTGGAATATGCACTCAAAATTCAAATCACATCTTTTGGTAGATCAGATGTGCACATTCTGTCTTACAGCATTCTTAGGCAGGTTTCTTTCCTGTCAGAGACTTGTACTGGAACCCACTGAAACATGCAAAATGAAATGGAGCTGTAGGGAGAGAGTAATCAAGGTAGAGAGGGCTTCTAGATGGAAAAGCTTTTATAGGGTTGCTGCTGGGAGAAGAGTAGTCATTACGGAAGATTGGGATCGCAGGATATATCTAGGAAAGATCTTCCTAAATTTTCTACTGTTCCTCATTCAGTTGTTTGGTCCTTTGGATTCCCTTTCCTGGTTTTACTTTCCTAACAAGCCTGTGAGGCAAAGCAATCTCCCCTTGATATTTCTTCTCATTCTCCTTCTCCTTCTTTGAACATTTTCTTTCCTGAAGATTTTTCGCTTTTTCCAGTCACCAAGGATTTCACATGACTGCCATGACTTTTCAAACATGATAGAGAGTGGTTTGGCAACATCAGCCAGTTCCCTCCAGGCCCTGGAATGCATGTAGTGAGGTCCTACAGGCTCCCGTTCAGTTGCATCAGGTGGTTTCAAACCTTCTCTTTGCTTACACTGGGAGGAACTTTGCTCCTCCAAATTCCACCTGGAGATTCAGGGACTTGAGAGATGTGGGAAGTCAGATGGCCAGACAGCAAAGACTGAGGCAAAGAACTCTTTGAGTAACTCAGCTTTCTCAGGCTGATTGTTAAACAGCGGCTTTGTTAATCCAAATAGCCCATTTCCTGATGCTGCTTATTTCCGTGTGACATGTGTTGAGATCTTCACTATGCATTGATCATGCAAGGCTTTTGTGATTTTTGTCAGTAACAGGAGAATATAATTAGATTGACTGCAGATAAGTATTCCACACTTACCTGAAACTAGACTACTTTGGTCAAAATTTCCTCTGTGCCCCTGCGTTCACCCCCGGTTTAGGGATATCTAAAGAAATCTTTGGATTTATCTTTTGGCTCTGGCCGTTCTCTCTTCATTTCTCTTTCTTTGCTAAATTCAAAAATGCGATCTAGCCTGGGGCTGAGCAGTGGGAAGGAGTCTGCTTATTAAGCAGATACTGTTTCTTAACTGCTTGTTCTTCCTGCTGTGCTCTGGGGTCTATTAAAAGACAAAAGAAAAATGAGTGAACTTGGGATCTAAAGAGAAAAAAAGTCTAACAATTTGGGGAGAGTCATTCTATTGTGAATAGATGGGATTTGATGCCGTCATAAGCTTGAAGAACTTCGTCTGATAACTGCATTTCTTCTGAGCTATTTCTAATTACATATTCTTTCCTGAAATTGCCCTTATCAAGGGTATTGGAAGTATTAATCACACATTCAGAAATGAACACTAAATGATATATGCTGTCTATTCCTCACGATAATTTTGGATAGTTTTGTGACTTGTGTCATCAGCTCTTCTGCAGAAAATTTAGAATGCTTTCACACATATCCATATGGAAAGCAAAGAAAAAATAATTAGGAAGACAGAATACTACTGCCTTCTTTTCATTTCTTTTAATTTTTTAGGTCTGCATTTAAGAAAACTTGTTGCTTTTAAAATCCTATTTCACTAAACATAGCAACATCATACAGATTTAGCATAGACAGTGCTAATTACATTGTCTCAAAGTAAATTACTACAGTGATTTATGAGTTTTCAGAACAGTTACCTGTGCAATTACCTTCTCTGCAAATTAACCACCTGTGTGTGCTACTGTTGTGTTACTTCTTCAAAAGTCCGTCCATATATCCAACTCAAATGACTGTGGCTATATTGTATCACTAATGAAAACAACATAATAATCAAAATGTAAACAACTGATTAATTATATTATGCAATTAAAATATATTGTCTATTTCATAATGAGCTAACTTAATTAAAATTGATTTTAGAGTTGTTCATTAGTTGTTCATTACCACCATGTCTTACCAAAAAAAAAAGTCCAGAAATGCATTATTTTTTGCAGATAAGGTTGTTCATAGAAAGGTATTCAAATTAATATGTTCAAATAGTATTTATCTTTCTCTTCAGTTGTTCTCTATATATGAACTTAAGGAAAGATCATGAGTATTTTGCGTCTAAAATCTTATCAGGCAAAAATATCTCTGACTGGAGACATGATGCACCAAATATCCTCAGAAATTACAGGACTTCAGTGATGTTGTCTAGCCCATCACATACTATCAGCGTGTGGAGCTCTAGTCTCTCTTCTGACACTCTTAATGAGCTGTTTTGTTTTGTCTAATTTCTTCCATTTCTGAATGTTGGAAAGGAACGAGGATCAGCAGAATCACAATGTGACATTAAACTCTCAGTTTGAGGTATATGAAAAGCTAATAACTCTGATTCCCACTGAGATAGAGATCTACTGAAAGTAGGAACATCATAAAAGCTCACAAAATTATCTTTCGCCACCAGTTGCTCTGCAGAGCAGTAATAGTCAACACTGCTATTACCTCATCTATTTCAAAGCATTTTCTAACATCTTGAGGGTGGTCTTTCATCCAGTCATTTCCTATAAGCAGTTGGTCTTTCCACCATTTCATACACAGAAAATATGTTTTGTGAAGGTCAAGTAATCTTGTGTTTTGCCTTTATTGTCATTTTAAAAAGCAGTAATAAGAGTAAAGCTCGACCTACACTTTTTTTCTTAGTAGATACCTCCTTTGCATTTCCTGTATTTGGTTTCCCTTGATTTCTGTTGCTTCACCAGCAAACTTTTCATGACTTTCGATAGACAGGTTTGGGCACAAGAAGACAGACACATCCACAGAGTTCTCCTTGAGCTCATTCAGCTATAATGAAAGAAAGACCAGCTCAAGGAAATATTCCAGACCAAATAAAGTTGCTCTGGTTCCTGTTGCTTAGGATACCATTTTGAATCTCACTCTAAATAGATCATTTCTCCACTTCTCTGGAAAGGGTTCCAGAAAGACTCTTCTCCCTAGCAATATTTCTGAATACTTAGGTCTGATGAATAAGGTGAGTTAACTGATAAGATCTACATCTCTGTGTACCAGTCTAGTAGCTGAAATGGAGAAGAACTTTCCTAACTGAGGTCTTAAAATCTGTATTATACCTAAAGAGACTTAACTAATAAAGAATTAGAAGCATGTTCCTTCTGTGACAGAATTCCAGAATGAGCACAAAATGTAGGAGTATGCTTATTACAACCTAAAATTATTTCTGACTTATGTTTTGAAGGTAAGAAACTTCATGTGATTGTGCTTTCTCCCCTATAAAGCCCAACATTTTCTCAGTCCCCTGCCATAATTTTTGAGCACCGTGGTCAATTCCAACATAATTTGGCATGAGGGGTGCAATTCTCAGGCAAATCAAGACTGTGTTTCCACTGAAGGAAAAGCAGTTTATGACACAGCTGGTGGCTTGTTCCAACAGGTAGCAGCCAAACAGGCACATCCAGCACTGCTGAACAGCTGCACCATGTGTACTTTTGACCTAGTCAAATAGGTAGGAATGAGATTAGGACCTGAGGGTAACAGAGAAGAGTCAGGACCAAAGAGGTTGTGATGTGCTAGGGAAAGTGGGAAATGAGTAGGAAATTTTGTAGGAAATTGGGCTTTAATTCCAGGCTTCATTGTTCCAGACCTCATTAAACAGCTTGCTTTTCTACATTTGTCTAAACTAATATGCCTGCAAATCCAGCATGAATACATCCTTCAGACATTTTCATTAATAAATCTGCACCTAAGTTTTTTTTTCCTACTGAAAAACAGTGATAAAAATACACACGTAACACAATTACCATACCTGTAGATAAAAAAAAAAGAAAAAGGATCATGCTAGCCAGTATTTTAAGGTTCATGACAAGACCGAAGAAAAAACACTTTGTTGAGCACTTATATTACATTTCCATTTACACTCTTAATACCTCTCTGTCACCTAAAGAGGCAATCCCAGCCCTCCTTCCCCAGCTGTGTAGTTCCAGTCTCAGCGATTTTTCCTTCTCTGTGAGAAGTCAGTGAGAGCTGATTCACCTGCATAGCTTTCACCCGAAAAATGGCCACTTTTTTGCTTAGTAACATTTCTGCCAATTTAAAAAGTAGAATCAGCTCACTAAGACATCAAACAAGAATTATCACAGGTTGGTTGTGAGTGGGTGAGGAAGTGAAACTGGGCTTTTCTTTGTCAATCAACTGTTCAAACAGTTCAGTTGACTTCTCTAACTACAGCCCAAATCTTAAAAGATTTTAAGTAAATTTCATTCAAAACTCAAGTATATCTGACCTTCATGGAGATGTGTTCTGCTACATATTATTCAGAAACTTTTCATAAATCGTTTTTAAGCAGTTTTATGTGACATTCTGAAAGACAGAGCATTCAGGGGGATACATCAGATATGTGGAAGGAGGGCATAAAACTATTCCAGCGTAGAAAAAAACAAGATCAGTGTTGAAAGGTGATGATTCAGGTTTCCCATCTTAGTCCTGAGTACTTAATTTCACACAAATACTTTTAGAGTGTGCTGCGATCTCCAGATATCACTAATGATACATCGGCTCTTAGTATTTGGGTTTTTTTCGTAGTTGCAAAGGAATAAAAATCCAAAGTTGCTGAATAACCTTGCAGAATAACCAGCTGCTTTAATGGGATGATTAACATCCTGAGACACATAAGAAACATTTTACTGGTGAAATTTAGCATTGTTTGTGTTCAACAGAATTTAATCAGGACAGACCTGCAGGGCTTTTTCAGCCCAGATAGAAATACTCAGGATGTATATTTCTCTTTGGAAAAATATTAGTACGTGAAAGACTGCTTTTAAAAGCAGACACTTAGGGTTTGAGATTTTGAAATTGATTTGTCTGTTCCATAATGGAACCATTTAAAGAGAAATACTTTTCTTAATTAAGAGAAATGGTGACTTGTACTGCAAAATAAACTAATGGCTTTGACATAGTGGAGGAAAAAAGGGGTATGTTATATTTAAGTTAGCTTCAGTCTAATTATTTGAATTATCAATTCAAAAAGATGAACAAATAAAGAAACTCCAGAGCACATGAAAATATTTTAACTGTGCAAAAAAAGACCTGTTTACTTAACAGCTGGAATTTTGTTGTTGGGAAAAATAGGAATTTATAAAAATGCAAACTAAGAATCAATAGCTTTGTCACAAAACTCAGGAGCAGGACAAATCTGCATCTTTGACTGTGACATATTTATGAGGAAATGAGTTCTGGTAGCTAAAGGTGAAGTTTTAGCTCTTGAAGTTAATATGGATTTTTGTTACTTTCAGGAAAGCCAGGTTTTCATCACAGTACATTTTACCTAGAAATATTATGCAAAGAATTCAAATGTCCTATAACTGTAATTGTTAATTTAATTTGTGATTTCAACCTTTGTCTGCTGTGATTCACAGAATGTCTATCTTTCTTTTATTTTGTTTTAACAGTTCAAAACTAACTATGAAAAGAGAAAGTTTAAAGTAGCTATTCCTCCCAATGACACATCCACAGTGACTTCCATAATAAGCAATGTGTCAGAAGCAATGGAAGCCCTCACCCAAATGAGAGAGGAAATAGTTCCTGTTCCAGGTTCTGTAAACGGAGTGAATGCCCTTGGCTTGGTGGTTTTCTCAATAAGCTTTGGCCTGGTGATTGGAAGCATGAGGGAGCAAGGTCAGGCATTGAAAGACTTCTTTGATAGCCTTAATGAGGCTATCATGAGATTGGTAGCTCTAATCATGTGGTAAGTGCCTCTTTGATAAATTTCTTTTTAAGTTACTTACAGTATTTTTTCACCACAATCAGGCACTGGGTAGCAGGAGTCTGATTGGCAGAAAGTCAGACAGTAAGATTGTATCTACCTTGTAGCTTTTTTCACAAGTGAACTCAAGAGCTGTAATGCTCCACCTCAATGATTTGCCCAAACACACCAACTCTTTCAGAGGGTTTCACTTTCAACATGAGAAAAATCAGGGTCTGTGTCAGAAGTTGCTGCACTTACATCTTATGTCTTCATAAAGGTAACAAACACAGCAGTATGCTGTTGAAGTTTCCTTATACCCTGATCTGACTTCATTAAAGGAAACCAACAAACCTCCCCCACAATCTTATTTCTACACAGCAAGACCTTGCTATCTTCAGTTTCCAACACAGCTGGTTCCCGTAGCTGTGTAGTGTACATCACAGCTGCACTGCTCACACGTACACATACTGTTCCTACTTTCTTTATAGTGTTTGTTAAGTAAATAAAACAAATACCTTTTCCCTCAACGTATGAAATATTTTCAACAATTAAGATTCATTATTTGTCAGGTAGAAAGTTAATTATGAAAAGAAATTATGTCTTGTTGCCTTCTTTACCACAGAAAAAAACCCAAATCAACTCCAGAAGCCTATCCAAGAGCACACATGTGTTGCAGTACTAGATACAAAACTAAAAATAAGTATGTTTACCAGTATCTAAAATTCTGTTCTTCCAGATCACATTTATACAAAACAAAAATCTTTTCTCCTTTACAGCATGTTTAAAATTACAAAGCAGAGGATGAGTGTTGCTACATCAGATAAATTTCTAAATGGATTTGATGTCCTAAAGAGACATTGTGATACGGTGGATAGATTTTGTTCTGTGATGTCTTAATGCAAGTGGACATTTACAGAAATAAGTCTGTACCAAAAGTACCACTGCAGCAGAATTATGTTAAAGTTTTACGCTCAACACTAGCTCTTTCTTCACCTCTAGCTATGCTTCCTGATATGGAAAAGCAGTTCATATCTCCTTTGTTGCTGTCACATAATGCAGCCAACCTTTGTCATACAGATGTCTTCATGCTGAAGAATACATTTATCCAGTGCCCTGCTGGATGAAATGGCCAGAGGCATCTTGAAATCTTCAGAGGTTATCAGACTTCTGTGTGGGTTCCTTCCCCAACAACATGGGAAACAGCACTGAAATAGAACTGGGTGCTTGGCATAGACTGCAACTACACTGGCTGAGCCTTCATTCACACAGACAGAATTATAACAGAATTGGCTAAACCACTTTATTACTCTTGAATTCCAAAGAGAATTCATCTCCCTACATGTCTGTAGGCATACTGTATGTCTTGAAATCCTTACCAGATCTTGAATCCACTGAAGCCCACCAGAAACATTCACTGCTGTGGTTTATTCTGGGTTGAACTGTTGAAAGTTGAAGAGTTAAACTCTTGAACTGCTCCTGCATGGGAGCATCGTAGCAGTGCTACATTCATGCATGCATATAAACACAGTGTGAATGGGGGAGTGAATTTGCTCAGTAAATTACTTTGTTCAGTAATGCTGATTTGATTTCTTATTTGCAGGTATGCTCCACTTGGAATTCTCTTCTTGATTGCTGGAAAAATTGTTGAGATGGAAGATATGGGTGTGATCGGTGGCCAGCTCGCCATGTATACTGTGACAGTCATCATCGGTTTGCTAATTCACGCTGTCATTGTCCTACCTCTTCTGTACTTCGTGATCACTCGTAAGAACCCATGGGTATTTATTGGAGGCTTAATCCAGGCATTAGTCACAGCTGTGGGAACATCTTCCAGGTAAACACAATATTTTAAAGCTGTGTTTTTATTATAGTATTACTAGTTTGAGAAACAATTTTGCCTAATGTTTGGTGAACTCTGTATTCAAGTGTTCACTTGGGCGCTGTATTTTAGTTGTACTGCTCTCTGATTCTGACTCAAACTCTGTTTCCTAGAGGTTAAATGAATCTCTTCAGTGATGCAGACTGTATGGTCAGACCCCTTGTGACTTTGATAAGTCTTGGTGTCTAATATTTTTAAGTAGCGTGTGCTGGCTTGCTTGTAGAGGATACAGCTGGTAAAGGATATCTATGGCAAAATGGAGCAGCGAACTGCAAAGTTCAGAGGGATTCTTATTGGCAGCTGACATTCTGTGCTAAAAATCCTGATAGCCAATAATGGATATAGAACTTGCAATAGAAATGCCACTTTTGCTCTGTTGGTGAGGTCATAGGTACACCATATGAATTAAAAAAACATTTTTGCATATATGATGAAAGGAAACATTACTATAATGAAATGTACATTTCTATGCCACATGACCTTTCATAAAACACCTTCTATTTTAATAGATTTTGAAAGTTTCCCCTAAAGACAAGTGTTTTAAGTTGGATACTCTGTAATACTAAATTCAAGTCCCTGGTGTTTGGTATTATATTGAAGGTCTGGAGGAGAAGCAATTGTGACCATTAATGTAGAATCTTATTTAGTTTTGTATCACTGAAAAAGCTTTTGAGGACTAAAAAATTCTGACCGCATATTAATGGGGGAGAGGGACAATTATTGATTTCACATTTGACATTTGGATATCAATCCCTGCAAATCTGGGAATGCCTAAAAGTGGAATGCCTAAAAGAGAATTTGATTAAAAATTATTTTAAAAATAAAATAAAACATACGCTAGTCAACATAGTTTAAGAGAAAATAAAATAAAACTACAACTTTGGTGGGTAACAGTAATAGTGTTAAGAGGATATGTTCCAGTTTTTGTTAGACATTCCACCTGGTGTTGATAAAGATTCTCAGCAAGAACCCTGGCTGATGCATTCTGTACTGCAAGTGGATTTTAAAACTGTTCAAAATTCAACTGTAAGATTGAATTTTATGAAAAGAGAAAGTTTAAAGTCACTATATTTGATTGTCATCAAAGATATTTTTCCCAGCACAATCTTTCACAACCCTTCTTCACTTTACTTTTTGTCAGTATTTTATCAATATTGAGTTTTCAAAGACTTGACAGTCCGTTAAGTAGTTAGCAATGAAGATTTCACTTGTGAAAAGATTTCACGTGTGTGACAGTTTTTTCTTTCCCTCTGTATAGAATTTATATGACATATTACCTTCTTTATTTTTGATTCAGTTCTGCAACACTACCTGTTACTTTTAAGTGTCTAGAAAAGACCGAGTAATCTGAATTACTGTGTCTTGAAAAACCTCTTTACTTTGTTGTGATCAGATGTAGAAATACAAGGCCTGGCTTGGTCTGAGTTAACTTTCTTCATAGCTGTTCATATGGTGCCATGTTTTAGATTTGTGTCCAAATCCACAATGATCCCATACTGGTGTTCCAGCTATTGCTAGGGTGTGGAGGCTAGTAAGTGAGTGGCTGCGTGGTGCTTAGCTACCTACTGGTGTTAAACTGTAAGTGGTGAAGTAATGCAACCATTGATCAAAATGCCCTTTCCAGAGGAGCCAGCAAATAAATAAGAGAAAGAATGCTTTTTACTGAAGGATTGAATAATCTGAAGAATTGAATAATCAATTTGTATAACTTCAAAAAAACAGTGCTTAAGGATGATTCGGTCACAGCTCCACGACATAAAAGTGAGAAGCAGGAATTTTTAAGTAGATTCCTCTGCCTAGCAGAAGACTCTTGTAACAAAACACTGAACTTAGACACATTCAGACTAGGGACTGCATAGAGAATGACAGTAATTAACCACTGGGAAAAGTTTCTAAAAGAATTAAGAGAACCTTCACCTTAAATTCAGACTTTTCATTTAAATCCAGCCTTTCTTTGCATTTGAAAAACAAAAATGTTCTGGTAGATCACAAAAGTAATTAAGGCATTTCTTGCAATCATAATGTGTGACAGTCTTTTCTTTCCCTCTTTATAGAATTTATATGACATATTACCTTCTTTATTTTTGATTCAGTTCTGCAACACTACCTGTTACTTTTAAGTGTCTAGAAGAAATAAATGGAGTGGACAAACGAGTTACAAGATTTGTACTCCCAGTTGGTGCTACAATTAACATGGATGGAACTGCTTTATATGAGGCTTTGGCTGCAATTTTCATTGCACAGGTTAACAACTTTGAGCTGAACTTTGGGCAGATTATCACAATCAGGTATGGAAGCCATTATTACTTACATTTAATAAAAGCACCTTTGTGAGGACTTCTTGCTGGTTTATGCGGGATTAACATCTAGAGCTAAAAACAAGGAACTGCTACAGTAACTGAATACCTGTAATTATTTACGTCTTCTGCACAGGAAAGGACCCCCAGCACATATTTTCTTTTAGGTAAACCTTCAAAAAACTGTAACAGGACACCTGTCACTGGACTTGATGAAGTCAACAAGAGCAGTTCTTATTTACTTTCAAGTTTTTCTTTCTAAAGAACTCATGCAGCTCTTGGGAGCTATATACTTACAATCAGTACCAGGTAATTTATAGAGCATGTACAAAGCTGTAGCATAAAAGCATCACAATGTTAAAGCTGGGAGAGGTAGTGTTTTCCTAGTACTGATGGTCTCAGGATACAAGCAGGGGCAAGCTGTGTAAGGAGCAGTAATATAGATAAAAGCAGAGAAGATAGGTATGTTTTCAAGAACACAGGTCTTTTTTGAAATAGAACAGCAAACAACCCACTAATTAGCACTCAATGATAACTGATCTGCATTAATTTCATTATGTTTGTTATAGTGTAAGAGAAAAGGGTGATGGCTACATGCATAGATTAAAGGAATGTCAGCAAGGGGAGAGATGGATGCTGCAGGACAAAGAGACGTATTTATCACACAGGAAGACTGAAAGTTCAGTTACAGTGGTTCTCTCTATAAAAACCACCAGTTTATTTCAATACGCATTAACATAAGGCAAAACTCTGCCTTCGCACTCTGTGGCAATAGTTTCACATTCAGTAGTACTAGACTGCTCCCTGGCAAACCACCTGACAAAACAAATTCTTCCTAAACCAGGTGTGAACAAACATATTTCTCCTAAGTCACTAGACTGTATGATTCAGGGTTTCTGGCACTTTCCTTTTTCTGATGGCAGAACGCCAACTGCTGCAGGACAGAGACTTCACCTGGCATGAAGTTATAGTGAGACAGACAAAGAATAAAAGTTCTTGCCTTAGATCTACCAGGACAAAATTATCTCCTCAGCTTGTGGACCGAGTTTTTTCAGTGGATTGGGACATGTGGCTATAATGTTTTGTCTGGCCCTTGGCATCTAGTTGGGAATTTAGCACTAAAAAAGTCATGTTGCAAGGTTTCTGGATAAAGCTTTAGTGCAAACACTTCGGATCAAAAGTCACACTCCCCTGCAGCTGTGAGGTGTTCAGATAAGGGACTGGGCTCATCTTTATTTACTACTTGCTTCATATCTGGTTTTCAAGTTTGCCAGATGATAAGGAGAGTTTATTACGGAAGTCAATTAATTGCTGTTGCCATCTCTCTGCACAGCATCACCGCTACAGCTGCCAGTATTGGGGCTGCAGGCATTCCTCAAGCTGGACTGGTCACCATGGTCATTGTGCTGACATCAGTAGGTCTGCCTACAGATGATATCACTCTTATCATTGCAGTGGACTGGTTCTTGTAAGTATTTTTATAGAGTCATTAAAGGCTTAGACAATATTTAGAAGTGAAATAGCCAGAGACATTCTGGCTGTACTGCAATCTTTTTACTGTGGAAGGCAGTTAGAAACAAGTGTTAAAAAGAGTCACAATTTCTAGCTTGTATGGTATTTTCATAGAGCAGATGGTGAGGGGTATTGCTTAATGATTCCTTTTGCATGCAAAAAGTTTACTTAGAAACCTTTAGCATTAGGGTACTAACAGACACACTGTAATTAAAGAAGCAAAGAATTGCTTTAGCCTATTTTTTTGTAGGATGCAATGAAAACCCTTTCTTCAGTTAGGCTCAGAACTGAATCAAACCCAACCAACAAATTGCAGCCCTGCTGACTATGTAATCTGGGAAATGTTCATATGTCTGCCCCATGGACACAGAAATGAAAAATAGTTGTGTAACTCTTTTATCCAGCCACCACAAAGTATTGCCCCTAAATTTTTCCATTCCTCTATCTGTAGAAGACTGACAGACACCTGTAAGTGTACAAATTCCCTTAGGAACTAAGTTCCCCCAGGAACTAAATCAAAGGAAGGTTTCCTCCAACCTTTGTCTCACCTAACACCTATCATCCATGGTTTCCAGGGCCTTTTACCCTTCAGTCTCCTCAAGTGATCCCTGTAAGAAGTTGCCAGTGTCATTACCAGATCATAAGGTCTTCAAATGATTATCTAACCACATGCCCACAGCCTGATATAGGTGGATGCTTATCTACTAATGGTGCCAGTCCTGCCTCATCAAGCTGTGTCCTACCTCTGCTGGGCAGAGCCCTCTAAGGGGGCTGAGTTGTTGTAGTTTAACTTGAGTCATTTCAGCATAATTCCACCCTAAATTACTCATCATAGTTTATGGTCAGGAGGCAAATAACAAGGTAGATTATTGTTGGCTTACATGTTCAGAGCATATAAATCCAAACCACCGAAGTCCCAAAATGCCTCCAAGAAGCCATTTGCTCCCTTTGCCATCTTCATCATACGGCTGTTTCTTGCTGTCAGCTTACTAAGAGTAGTAATACATTTTGTGACTCCACATCCCAGTATATTTGGTAATTTCTGTAGAAGAAATAATGGCATTAACAGTTCAGGTAAGTGAATATATGTAAAATAGGTGGCTCATCTAGTAACTGTTCAAAGGCAGCTTTAACAGCTAGTCTGCATGCTTCCCTGAACAAGTGATGAAATCAAGACTAACTCACTACTTTTTCCTTAGGGATCGTCTCCGTACCACAACAAATGTCTTGGGAGACTCCATCGGAGCAGGAATTGTTGAACATTTATCACGGCATGAGCTGAAGAACAGGGATGCTGAAATGGGTAATTCCGTGATAGAGGAGAATGAAATGAAGAAACCCTACCAACTGATCTCCCAAGAAAATGAGAATGAGAAACCATTAGATAGTGAAACCAAGATGTAGGGTAGAGAAAACGTGAGTTCAACACTGCAAGTGTGGAAAAGCACACACTTTTTCCGGCCGTTTATATCTTGAATTCACCAAGTTCATCTATTCCTTGATTTCTCCCTTTATGCTCGCACTGGAAAGAATTAATGAAAATATATTCCAAACTAGCAGTGATCATGGTATATGTTGGCTTCCCACTTAAAAAAAAAATTAACAGGCAACGACAGTGGTCCTGCTAGACATATGCTAACTGGGGATAAAAAAAGAGATTGTGTATATGTTACTCAGTCCTGTGAATCTTTTTTTTTTTTTATGAACTGGAAAGTAAAAACAGATAACAGAGCCTGAAAATGGTTTTATTTTTTTAAATACCTGTTGCGAAATTCCTAACATCTTTAAACACACAATCAATACTTCTAACTTGATAACTACATCCAGCTAAGTAAATTAACAGGACTTTTACTTTTTTATCTGATTTATTTTCTCTAGTGTTATATTATTGTTCAAATACTAGCAGGACAATAAAAAAGCAGGAGATTAATTGAGGGGATAAAAAGGGGGAAGATATATAAATAAAGAAAAGAAATACCCCCAAATCAGCACTTTTACCAGCTGAGTTGAAATATTTCTGAGAAAGTTATTTTATCTAGACTGTTTTTCACATTAGATTCAGCTGTTCTTTATAAAAATTTAGCCTAGTTGGCTCCCACTGACTCAAACATTTACAATATGCATGTATGTACTTCCAGTCTGGATTTGCTCCTATAATTTCAACATCACAACCCAGATGAACAATCTATGTGTGGAAGTGTTTGTAGGGGCAAGGCCCTAGTCTGGGACAGAAAATGTGTCTTCACCTCAGTTTGGAAAAAAAATAGCATACAGTGGATACAGTAATGATCTACTTAATAAGCAATGATAAGAAGGCAACACCAGCCTTCTGTAGAAGGTGCAGAAGGGTGAGATGCTCAGATCCTAAATTAGATGGATTCTAAATCTAAATCCCTGAGACTAACTGGAGGTTTTCTGATTGGAAATCTCCCAAATCCTCAATCATACCACTAATAAATTATAGAGCAATTAGCTGGATTTACATTTTTCCATCTGGAGAAGAAGGCTCCCTATCTCAGTGTGAAATTTTGAATTCCTAGAGTGTTTATCGGTAGCATCCAAGAAAAAAACCAAACAAACCCTTAGAAAGTAAAACTAATGGGTGCTTTTATACATTTTACTAGGAAAAATATATAAACTGCGAAATAGTAAATACTATAATAAATGTTGAAATTTTAATTAGAAATTATTTTAAAATGCAATATTGTAGGTTTCCTTCAGGGAGTAGATAAGCAAAGAATGAAAAAAGGGAGACAGTGCATTTGTAATCCTGTGGGTTTTTGTTCATTTCAAGATTATTCCCTTAAGAAGCACTTTCTAGAAATATGAATTATGTACTTTTTCTTTTTTACCTTGTATTATTAAAGAGATTAAACTGGAAAGTTTTGTAATGCAGTTAGAGTTGGGAGAAAGACAAAAATATTGACAGGCATAATAGTGTTGAGTGATCTGTTTTATTAAAATTGTTATCTTCTTTCTCCCTTTCCTTATAAAAAAAATTCTGATGACAGAAATGAAGGATTCCCTTGCATTGTCCGAGCTGCCATTCAAAAAATATTGGATATGTTGCTTCTGTCACTAAAAGTCCATAATATTGTGTACAAGTAACTAGTGAAAATATCATCATGCTGGTTGAAGGCAAATCTTTTCCCAGGCAAGACTGTTTTTTAGGACTGAAAACTCCTGTCCATCTTCTCCAGTTAAGTAATCTGAACAATATGAGCAAGAACTCTCTAGTGAATGAATTGAGCAGGGTTTAATATAGAGTATTGAGCAGTCAAACCAAGCAAACTCTAAATGAATCTCTGACAGAAAGAAAATGTGGGTTGTTCTTTTTTTTTTTTTTGGCTAACAAAATGCAAATCTAGGATACAGACTGGCATTTTCTGATATATAATTAGAGATATTTTTATATAGATACTGTATTCAGAATGTGTGTATAAACATTAACTGTAGAATTTATGGCATAACACTTTAAATTTTTGTTAAGATTTTGTTTGGAAATACATTGCAAAGACAATGTAAAAGGCTGTCTTTCTATGACATCAGCTGAGAAAAATTAGTTGTGTCACAAAGAATGTGATCTTTTTTTATACTAACGTTGTTTCTTATGGAAATCAGGTATTATAGAAAGATTCCCTTCCCCATTCCCCACTGGTTTTGCATTGGTATGCACCCAGAGTGGTTTGAGAAACATTACTTTGTAGATGTATTTTCAATAAAAATAGTTTTACATTACTGCTCTTATTGTGATTTAGAATTTCTTTCGAAGGCTCTGTAATAGAAGCTTCACACAAACTCAAGGCTGAGAAACTCATAGTATGGGATTTCAGGAATTTCAGGCCATTTTATGCAGCAGGACTTTGATATAGCAGGGCTTCCTTACTTTAAATATGTGCTTACAGTTTTGTGATCAAAAATAAAGTAAAGCATGGTAGGGGGGAACACTAAGAATTAAAAGAACCAATGTTTTTCCTGCTGAAGTTCATTCAAATTCACATATCGATACCTGCAAAATACTGAAAAAAAATGTATTTACATTTTCAATGATTCAGCAACTGCAAAACTGCCGGTTCATTTTGGATGCATATAAATAGATGGTGTAAAGCCCCATTACAGCTTTGTAACATTACAGCCATCCTCAACAATCCACTGTTTTTCTCATGGAAGTGGTTTGTGATGCTGTCAGGGTTCACTTGGCAGCAAGTCCAGTTAGCAGTTCTTTCTAGTGGAAGTGAATGTCTTACGAAGAGTTCTGGGAAGGTATAAAAGCTGAATCACTGCGTCTAGAAGGTTGTGTTGGTTGGAGCAAATGGAGACAGCAGAGAGAAGTCCTGCCTTCCTAAACATATACCAGCAAAACACTGAACAATTTCCTCTCTGAATTTGTCTGTGGTGTTTTAAGTGTAAATATTATACAATGCAAACAGTTTTGTTAAAAAACTCAGAGAAGATATGGTGTTCTAAAGCACATGAGCATAATTTTTCCAAATTTTTTTTCTAGTTATCTGTGTGTGTGTTCTCCCAGTTGAGTGTCTTTGTGTTTCTAGAACTACTATCACGATGGGGATAGTTCAAGAAAGAGAGTGGGTGTATCACAGAATCATCTAGGTTGGAAAAGACCTCCAAGATCATCAAGTCCAAACTTTGTCTCATCCCACCTTGTCAGCTAGACCATGGCGGTAAGTGTCACGTCCAGTATTTTCTTGAACACTTCCAGGGATGATGACTCCAACACCTCCCTGGGCAGCCCATTGCAATGCTTGACAACCCTTTACATGAAGAAACTCGTCTTGATGTCCAACTTAAACCTCCCCTGGTGCAACTTGAGGCCATTTCCTTTTGTCCTATCACTTGTTACCTGGGAGAAGAGGTTGACTCCCACTTGGCTACAACCTCCTTTCAGGTAGTTGTAGAGAGTGATAAGGTCTCTCCTGAGCCCCCTTTTTTTCTCAAGGCTAAACACCCCCGGGTCCCTCAGCTGCTCTCCATACCACTTGCCATCTAGACCTTTCCCTAGCTCCGTTGCCCTTCTCGGGACTTGCTCCAGCTCCTCACTTGGAGAAATTACTGGCACAGTGGCCTTACTTACTCTTCTGTGCCCCCATGCAGAATAAAGATCTCTGGTATCCCATAATTTTTCAGCAGTGTTTTCATTTGGAAGTTGGGGTACAAAACAGCCTTGCCATTCTTAGGCAAGAATTCGTGTCTCTATAACAGTGTGTGGCCAGTTTAAAGCAAAGTGGTCATGCATGTGGAAAATCGACTACTGGCACAGCAAAGTATTTCTGCGTTCCCTTCTGAAGGACTGAATTTGCACAAGTGACATTTGTGTTCCAGTGCAGGCACAACTGACAAGAAATTTAAGGAACTTTATTTCAACTAACACTTGTTTTTTTTTAATAAAGTTACAATGGAAATGGTACAGAACTTATCTTGCTTCTACTGTGAACACCAGTGTCCTAGTTGTGGTAACAGTGTGTGATCATCTAGGCTCTAATGGGATAGCAATTTCCTAGAACAGGATAAAAAATCTAAGATTAACTGATAGATCACCACCTGTCTGGATTTCCTTTTTTTCTGAAGAGATCAGTTTATCCTGGAAGCACAGAATAAGATGGAGAAAGACTTTTACACCTCTGTGCAAAACAGAAAATCCAGACTGGCAACATCAGTGAGGCAGCAAGATTCCTTCTGATAATAGAGATCAGTAGTCAGATGATACAATCCTGCATGATGAGCCCTTTCCTTTCTGTCTTCTCCCCTCTGGCTCCTCAGATGTCTCTAAAGTACCCAGAGGTATCTAAAATTCCACAATTCTAAGACAAGAGCACCTGCATCTCTAACCAAAGTTTTTCTTTAACATGCCTCATTACACAACTAGGACTGCACAAATAATTGATTTTTCACTTCAGTGAGAGAACTGAAAAACTTGGGAGAGTAATTCTTCCAGGGCATCATCAAAACAATTTTTATTGCTTAAAAAAAAAAAAAAGTATTTTCCAAGTATAATGACATGTTTCATTCTCCGCTTCTTGAAACATCGCATCTCACTTCTTGATTGCTTTTCCTCTGTTTTAAATTAAAACAAATTGAGCTGTAAAATGAACTGAACGTGGAAATAAGACATTGAATCATTTTGCTAGGAAAATGTCAAAATGAAATATTCTAACTTTTCTATAATATCTCCTCACTTTAAAGTCAATTGTATTTATAGAAGTTGGCACAGCTTCACAAGTACTTGCCTCAAAAACTCCATTTTTCAGCAGTATATTTTCGTATTAATGCTTTTTCTTTGTTCTTTACAACTTCCTTTTTTTAGACATTGCACATTTTTCTGGTTTTCCTGATTAATTAGATTTTTTCTTAGTTGGACTTTTGGCTTTTTAAGAGCTTTTTAAAACTCTTGATACTTGATAAAAATGATAAAAAACCAAATCTCTTCTGATAGTTGTCCACTATTATTACTTTTACTCTGACTCCTAAAGCTGTATTCATTTTCTGCATCATGGGTTTTTTTGATGCCTTAACCAGTTTCCCATTTTCAGCAGTCCCATGTACCGCCATCCCTCTATCCCACTCGCTCTCTTGGCTTTTCTCCTTATTTTTACAGCTACTCCTCCAAGAACCCCACTGCAGCAGGTCTTCACATACCCCAGTACAAATCTCAGGAGTATTCTTGGTCTTCAACATGACTCAGCCTGTTTGGGTTCTGGTTCCCAACCAATAAAATGGGGACAATAGCACCAGGGTTTCTAGAGAAATTAGGATTGTGGAGAGCCTGTACAATGGGGCTGACACGCACACCTGGGCCACCTCTCAGGCATCACTCAAACCCTGAGGATTTGCCCCTAGTGCATAGCACTTTTGTCCTGTCTCCTGTGCTCTAGATACTTTGGGTGCATTTAAGAATTTGTGCTACCCTCTCTTCAAAACAGAAATTAAATGAATTTGCTCATCATAATTGTACATAAAAACAGGCCAAATCATGTAGCGCTCGCTGGCTTCTTTCACTGGCAAAACTCCCACAAACAGCAAAGTGAGAAGGATAAAATAAAGATCTGACTTGGATTTCAAGCACAGAAAATAAACTACATTGCAAATGTATTCAGAATAACATTAGTACTGGTGGCAGATGGTGACTGTCCTTTGAGCTGGTGCCACACAAACCTCCCTTCACAGATCTTCCGGTTCACCTTGTGCATGACCTGCAGTCCCTCGCCCATTTGAATCCTGCTCCTCTCCCAGGCAGCAGCTCCTGGCCATGCCAAATTGCCTGGTGTTTTTGTGATATGCACAAATGGGGACTGGGATGAGACCACCCAACTTGCTTTCATTTACAGGCTAAGCCAGGATGTTAGGTTGAGTCTCCAGAAGAAAAAGCCGACAGTACTAACCCACTGTGCCACTTAGCTTCCACAGTGCAAAGGAGCTATTCAGCTGCTGCCAGTGCTTCATTTTCAGATGTACTGTAGCTCTGTAACAATCAGCCTCCTAAAAACTGCAGTGTTTCCCAGAAATGACTGCCAAAATTCTTTGTCTCATTGGATTATGCTGCCATCGTGTGGCAGCTCTTTTTTTACAAGTAACATTTTGCATCCAATTCAAAAAATTAAGTTAAATCCCCTGATGAACAATTGAGCACAATGCTTAATGTTTGCTTCAGCTGCAGAATGTTGTTATTATAATAATTCTATTTATTCACATACAGATTATATTAATTTATCTTTAAGGTACTCTCTTTAAGATGTTCAGCTGTGAACACTGTTGTACTGATTCTTTCGTGCTTCTGTTCATTTGTCTTTGTCTTATCTGAGCATCTCTCAGGCAAAATGAAAGTGTCTTGGAGAAAACGTGTTCCACAGTTCCCGAGGCATTCTTTTATATACTGTGCGAATGGTGGTGTATGGGCTATTTTGCTAACACTAATTGCTGAGAGAGCAGAGTCTCACCAGGACTAATGTCTCTTCCAGTCTCAGTTGTTTCTCTCTGGTAATCTGATGTGCCCCAAGGTTCTGTGAAGATGCTAGATTTGCACACGTGGAATCTGTACTTGCCAAACTGTGTTCCTATGGATGCATACAAACTGTACCTTGATACAATGCATGTCAAAAGGGTGAAGAGCAGCTGAGGGAGTGAGGTGTTTAGTTTGGAGAAAAGGAGGCTCAGGGGAGGCCTTATCACTCTCTACAACTACCTGAAAGGAGGTACAGCTGTGTGGGGGTTGCTCCCTTCTCCCACGCAACAAATGACAGAAGAAGATGAAATGACCTCAAGTTGCTCTAGGGGAGGTTTAGATTGGATACTAGGGAAAAATTATTCATGGAAAGGGTTGTCAAGCACTAGAACAGCCTGCCAGGGAACTGTTGGAGTCAGCACTCCTGGAGGTTTTTAGAGCTGTGTAGATGTGGCACTTGGGGACATGGTTTAGTGGTGGACTTGGCAGTGCTGGGTTAATGGTTGGACTCAATTATTTTAGAGGTCTTTTCCAACCTAAATATTTTTATGATTCTATGAAGCAAATGTTGTGGCATCTGGTCAGAGCCTGAGTTGTTCCTTTGCAAACCAGTAGTGCTGCCAACACTTGTAGTACCGAATATTGTATGGCAAACTCCTTGAGACAGAACTGGGAGAATTTTGCTTACATTGTCTTTAAATCCATTTCGAGCCTCATCAATGTGTAAAAACATGATGTGACATAAAGGACTAGAAAGCAAAGAAAAAGAGATGAAAATTATT